AAATAGCATACTTCAGCATTGGGTCATTTCTTTGATCCACACCTCAGGTTCTGGACACCATGTAGAAATATTCTGTTCACTATTAGCTCACCCCATTCTCTGTGTTTGCATCTATGTGCTCATGTATACAATGCCCAAGTTCCTATAGGGTTTGAATGCACATGAATTTGCATGTGTGTGGAGGCCAGAGACGAATCCCAGGTACCATTTCTTATAAGCTGCCCATATTGTTTTTGGAGATATGGTCTCTCACTTTTATCTGGAACACAGGTAAAGCAGGCTGGCCATGAGCTTCAGAGATCTGCTTGCCTCTGCTTCCCCAGTGCTGGAATCACATGCCTGCACTACCATGTCTAGTTTCTGGGGATTGAACTCAGGTCCCTATGCTTGCAGAACAAATAGTCTGCTAACCAAGCTGTTACCCCAACCCAGTCTTAGTATTTATTTATTTATTTTTATTTTATTTTAATAATTTTTATTTTTTTAATATTAACCACAGGTTATTTACTTTGTATCCCAGTGTAGCCCTCTCCCTCATTCCCTCCCAATCCCATCATCCCTCCCTCACCTTTTCCCTTTCCCTTTCCAAGAACATTGCTAGGAGAGGTCCTCCTCCCCTTCCATCTGACCCTAGCTTATCAGGTATCTTCAGAACTAGCTGCAATGTCCTCTTCTGTGGCCTAGCAAGGCTGTTCCTCCCTCAGGGGAGTAAGAGGAGGTAAAGGAGCCAGTCATTAAGTTTATGTCTGAAATAGTTCCTGTTCCCCTTACTAGGGTACCCACTTGGATATTGAGCTACCATGGGCTACATCCAAGCAGGGGTTCTAGGTTATATCCATACATGGTCTTTGGTTGAAGAAACAATCTCATAGAGGACCCGTGCCCTGATATATTTCATCCTTGTGGAGCGCCCGTCCTCTCCCATTCATACTAACTCCCCCTTTTATCATATGATTCCCTGCACTTTACCAAAGATTTGGTTATGAGTCTCAGCATCTGCTTTGATATACTGCTAGGTAGAGTCTTTCCGAGGCCCTCTGTGGTAGGCTGCTGTCCTGTTTCTTATTTCTTCCTACTTCCTATGTCCATCCCATTTGTCTTTCTAAGTGAGTATTGATCATCTTACCCCGCTCCTCTTTCTTGTTTATCTTCTTTAGGTGCACATATTTTAGTATATTAATCTTATCTTATAGGACTATAAAAGTGAGTATATACCATGTGTGTCTTTCTGAACTGGTTGTCTACATGCAGAAAAATGAAAATAGATCCATATTTATTACCCTGCACAAAACTAAAGTCCAAGTGGAACAAAGACCTCAACATAAAACCAGATATACTAAATTGGTTAGAAGAGAAAATGGGGAAGACCTTGGAACTCATTGGCATAGTCTTAGTATTTTAAATTGTCAAATACTGAATATTGTCACCCAATTATTTTGTGATTTAAATGTGTAATATCCCCCAGGAGACGTTGTTCAAGTTCTTGCTTCCAAGGGGTTTATAGGGCAAAGAGGCGACAGAGAGATAATCCAGGTTATGAAGAATACAAAAATAATTACAAAAGTGGGCAGAGGAGGGAGACAGTAAATTCTGACTGAAAAAAACTGCTAATGTTTTCTCGTACGGGTTTGGGCCCATTTGTGATGTGTGGAAGAATGAAGACGCTTCCACAGAATAAGCAAGAGAAGGATCTGTCTCCAAGGCCAGCATATAAGGAAGCTAATGTCCTCTGTTAACATGGAGGCGAAGGGCTCAGAGGGGTTGCTTTCTAAGGCCTGTTCACAGGAGTTGAATTCAGAATAGTTGACCCTTCTGATCTGCTTCCAAAGTTATCGCCAGTAAATGACTGGTGTGCAGGTACAGATAGGGGAATCACACTTCACCTTAAGTGACTGATGTGCAGGTATAGAAAGGGATATCACACTTCATTTGTTTTTTGTCTGTGGACTTCAGTCAGTGAAAATTAAAACGTCCATGTGTTAGGCCATGGAAGCAAGCCCATTTGTCTCATTCATTTACCACCCACAGTTGAATACATGTCAGAAAATGATGTCACTCCACACTCAGAAGCTACTGGCAATGGCTTAGAAGAGGACAAGCCAACCAGAAGGAACTGGATCTGTGAGCCACTTGATGGCTCTCCTCGCTCCAGAGCTCCCTGGTACATTTGTGCGGTCTCAAGACTATCCTTGGACTCATTCTTTCTGTTTTTACTGAAGGTATTCAGGATTAGGCTCTAGAGCAGCTTGATCTGTGTACATTCATTTGGAGACTTGTCTTGGAATTGTCCCAGTGAGGATTACATAAGCATCTTGGGAAAATCTGGAAACAAAAGGTTAGCATTTGTGACTCTGCTGAGACTTGTTAGGAGAGGTGAGTGGTATGTGGTACACTTCCTTCTCTGCCAAGCGCAATGTGCAGAGAATAGACGATCTTAATGAGGAACACAAGCCACATGCGCCTCTTTCAATGTTGCTCAGGAGTGTGGCATTTGGCTAGCACGCCTTTTCAGTGTTGCCAGATCCGTTCTACTATTGTCACTTCAATAAAAGCAATTTGATTACAGCCAGACATAGCCCTGGGATTCCTTTAGCTATTGAGTCACTATGTTCTTGTTAGAAGGAAGCATTTACTTTTCTACATTGCCTAAAGTCCAAATAGCAGCCATAGAAGAATGTGATAAAATACCCTGGCTGTGGAAAATAGTACCGAGATGACCCCCGATCCTCTCCACCTACTTCTTTCTGTGCCCTGGTGTGATTCCTCTTGTTTTACGTAGGTGATCCTGTGACTTTATAATCTGCTGTTAGATTGTTTTAATGAAGCTAAAAAAATAATTTAAAAAAAGCAGGGTCAGATGAAAGGGGAGGAGGTCCTCCCCTATCAGTGGACTTGGAAAGGAGCAGGGAGGAGATGGGGGAGGGAGGGTAGGATTGGGAGGGAATGAGGAAGTGGGATACAGCTGGGATATAGAGTTAATAAGATATAACTAATAATAAAAATAAATAAAAATAAAATGAAACATGTCATGAAGAATGAATACATGAATCAAAAATTAAAAACAGAGTAAAAAGAGAAATAATTGCATGTAGCATTCAGTGCTTTGAAATGGATAGTATCTCATGGGTGTTCAACCTACATCGTCTGCAACCAAGATTTGTCAAAATGGGCTTTGCTGCACAAAGACAAGTTCGGAATAGTATAGATGTATGGCGTGTACAGTTTCTGATTGGTGGAGACTAGAGGATTACAGAAAACAGAAGGAATAGTGTGGTGTTGCAGCTTTAGAAGGTGAGGCTGGCCCTGGATTTTCTCGTGGTGTCTAGAGTTGAGCTGGCATTTGGAGAATTGATTTGACTCTGAGAGGAGACTGAAGATGTCTGACCAACTCTAATATGAGACCTATAGTCTGTCTCCTGTCTTTCACCCACTATCTCTGTTCTTGGGAGGATCTTACAGGGCATCACTCCTCACGGGGCCCCGCACATCACAGACTGTTAGTATTGCAATACTTTATTCCCTCATTATCGAAGGGAGTTAGAATTACCTGTTCTCAAGTTAGAGGTGATTGAGTTCTACCTCACACTTGTCACCGTCCTTTCCAGTATGTCACAGTCCAGGATGGCAGACACCAGCCACATCAATTGAAATGGGTTAGTGAAACTGAAGAAATTTTTTTCACTTAATTTAGTTTCAATTACTTTACCTCTAAATGCACGGGTCTAGAGACTATTATTTCATTACATAATTTAAAATTTTAATTTGAGTTCATATGGCTAGGATATTTTCAAGTCTCTGGCTTCAAGCTTAAAAAAAAAAGAAAAAAAATGTATATTTTCATCCAGTTTTCAGAAAACCCAGTGAGGCCCATTGTATCGTTCATATTTCACAGAACAAAAATTTAGTTATTGGAAATAAAGTATCCTAGGTGAGAGACAGGATTTAAAAGTCGGTATAGGTCTCAAGCGTGTCTCAGAGATGCCCTCACTCAGCAGGGTAGGTTCCTGGGAGGATATAGGGGTGACTCTAGATGAGACCCCTAGTAACAAGGGTCATGGAGACTGAAGAGGCCACTTTCTAACCAGACAGGACTCCAAGTGGAGGAAGGAAACACAAATCCACCCATAAAAACTTCGACGAAAAATTTACCCTTCCTACAAAATTGTAGGGATAAAGATAAGGCAGAGAGTGAGGGAATCGGCAACCAATTACTGGCCCAACCTGAGACCCACTCTAAAGAAGAGAGCCAACCCCTGACACTATTAATTATACTTGTAGATGGGAACCTAACATGGCTGTTCTCTGGAAGGCTCCGCCCAGCAGTGGATTGAAACAGACGCTGAGACAGTGCCAAACATTGAGCAGAGCATATGAAGCCTCGTGGAAGAGTGGGAGGAAAGGATAGAAGAACCCGGAGGGGTTAGAAGACCAACAGAGCCAAGTAACGTGGGCCCAGGGGGACTTGCAGAGACTGAAGCACCAACCAAGACCCGTGCATGTACTTGGTCTAGACCCCCTCCACAGATGTACCCAATGGGCAGCTTGGTCTCCATGTGGGTCCCCTAGAAAGAGGAATGGGGGCTGCCTCTGACATAGTCTCTGTTCTTCTGTAGACCATGTTCAGTCAGATCCACGTATGTTTTTCGATCACTTTCCCTGGGCCTGTCTTGCCAGGACACTGTGAAAGAGGAAGAAGTGCTCAATCTTGCTGTGAGCAGATGTGTAGGGGCGGCTTGGGGGAGGGTTCCCTGTTTTTAAGGGGCAGGGGACGGAGGCAGAGGAAGGAGGAAAGAAAGGAAGGGAGAGACCAGGAGGAGAGGAGGGAGAGGGCTACGGTTGGGATGTAAATTGAATAACTAAAAAAAGTCAGTGTGGCTCCAAACCTGTTTTGTTTGTTTGTTTGTTTGTTTTTGTTTGTTATTGTTTTTTGTGCAACGAAAAAAAGACCAATTCAGCAGAGATAGAAGAGAAGAATAATGACACAGACAGTTAAAACATGGTTCTTATTATAGTACGTTCTTTCATTTTATTGCTCATTGTAAACAATTTAGCCATAGCGTTTGTTAGTTCTTAAGTAACCATATTCCAGTTTTTTTTTTTTTACATCAAATATTGTTTTCTTCCAATATACATCATTTGTGGAAATAATCAGTGAGCTTCAGGCATCTATGACATATTCATTTGTTATTACGACACTAATAAAAACAGTAAAATCCTTCCTCTACTGTAAATATATAGATTTGTGCTGTGCCTTAGGGGAACCCATACATGACTCAATGAGAGATGGTGTGGACAGAGGTGGTTCCCATGCAGGCAAGATTTATAGAATGTAGAAGGCATGTGGTAGGGGTACATTAGTGTGAAGACCAACATTCCTTTTCAGAAGTCTTACCTCACTATGTTTCTTTAGGAACATGTACTGCATTTGCAAACAACATTCTCAAACCACAGGCAGTTTGGCATTGTGAATTATAGCTGCAGAGTAGTGTAAACTAATCACATTTGCAGAGAAAAAATAAATTCAAGCCTGTGTACTGTTTAACCCTATGCCAATACTTCATGTGAGGCAGGGAGCCTCTCACTAGAACAGCCAGAACTCTTGGAGGCATTCCATCTCCTCTGAAGCTAAGATTATCCTTGCCTTAGCCAAGCAAGCCACTCAAAACAAATCTAGCCTCAATTCCTTCTGTAGACCATGTTCAGTCAGATCGACACATTTCTAATGTGGAGATTTGATACAGTAATCAGCACTATTAACTCATATTGAGTTTCTCAACTACAAGCATGGATTCCATAACTTATACTAGAAAGTATTTCTTTTGGCTATTTGTCAAGTTTCTTAGTGTCATTTTAGAATGTTACTGATTTATAATCCTGATATTGAATTAAGTGTTTTAGGTTTCCTTTTAAAGTGGCATAAAGGTTCTTAGTGGTCAGCAAATCGTTTTTTAAATTATTATTTGTTATATTAATTACAGTTTATTCATTTTGTATCCCAGCTGTATCCCGCTCCCTCATTCTCTCACAGTCCCACCCTCTCTTGCTCATTTCCTCCCATTCCCCTCTCCAAGTCCACTGATAAGGAAGGTCCTTCCCTTTCATCTGACCCTAGCTTATCAGGTCTCATCAGGACTGGTTGCAATGTCCTCCTCTGTGGCCTAGCAAGGCTGCTCCTCCCTTGGTGGGTGGGAGGGAAGATCAAAGAGCTAGCCACTGAGTTCATGTCAGAGACAGTCCCTGTTCCCCATACTAGGGAACCCACTTGGATGCTGACATGGGCTACATCTGTGCAGGGGTTCTAGGTTATATCCACAAATGGTCCTTGGTTGGAGTATCAGTCTCAGAAATACCTCTGTGCCCAAATATTTTGGTTCTGTTGCTTTCCTTGTGGAGTTCCTGTACCCTCCAAGTCCCACTATCTCCCCCTTCTTTCCTAAGAGTCCCTGCACTCTGCCCAAAGTATGGCTATGAGTCTCAGCATCTGCTTTGATACACTGCTGGGTAGAGTCTTTCAGAGGACCTCTGTGGTAGGCTCCTGTCCTGTTTCCTGTTTTCTCCTTCCACTGTCCATCCCGTTTGTCTTTCTGAGTGAGGATTGAGCATCTTACCCAGGGTCCTCCTTCTCGTTTAGCTTCCTTAGGTGTATAGATTTTAGTACGTCTATCCTATCTTACATGTCTAGTGCCCACTTAGTTTTAAAGTAGAGAAAGGATCCACATAAAAATACAAATGTGAAGGTCAGTCTCACTAGAACATGGTACATTTGATTTTATATTGACTGCTTTTGCATTTAATGGTAAGCACTTCGTACACGTCTGTCCTTGGCAAAAGGCCACATGGTGCCTTCTAACCCCTTCCCATTAATTCTGTAACTTTCTAAAAAAATGGATTATTTAAAGTTTATAAAAAGGGAAAAAATTGGCTACTACATTGAGGTATATTTCTGTAGAAAGAAATATTTTATTTACCCCTTAAAAGAGTGTGTTGTATATGGTCAAATTATGGCCTTTTGCTACTGATGTAAAACCCTAGGAATATTGGCTTTTCACCTTTTATTCCACAGTTGGAGCAACCTTCATCATACCTGTGACTAAAGCCAAGTGGTTCTTGGGAGGGGTTAGTAATGACTATGGAGATCGTAGCCCCAGAACCAATTGAGGGTTTTTGATCTTTTGTAAATAATCAAATTAAATGGATATGATTCATCTGCTGCTTTCACTGCTGGGGACACGGCTGGTCACTACAAACATACCTAAAACATAAGCAAAAATTTGAGGCTCAAAGGACTAATTTGCTATTCATTTTTTAGACATACTTTCTAGAATATTTCTTTACTACACTGCCAGATTTTGTGTGGAATCTTGATGGAAGGGATTTTCACAAAGCTATGTAATCAACAGTAATTCTGCAACTGTTCTTTCTTTCTTTCTTTCTTTCTTTTTTTTTAACACAGATATACGTTAGACATGGCATGGGTTTGATTTTTCTCCCATACCAGTAACACTTTGATGTCACCCATGAGGCTGTTTGTCTTTCTTTTAAAGGAATTTCACAAGGGAGTCACAGGGATACTCCTTTTCCAGTGCTCATTAAAATTAAGTTTATAATGCACTACAGCTTATTAAGTGTCTTCAAAACAATGTATGCACACTCATTAAAATATTTTATTGGTAAAAAAAAATGGCAACTAGCACCTGAGCTTTCAGCAGGTCCAAGTCTTTTTGGTGGTGGCATGGTGATAGCTGCTCAGTGGTTATGCTGGTGGTTGCTGAAGCTGAAAGACTGTTAGGATGGCAGTGAAGCCTGATGCATAGGTTGAAAACTTCTCTTCATGAAACAGTTCTCTGCAGCATTCTTCAGATTTGTAGTTATCTCTCATCCTGCTGCTGACATGAAATCACTTAAAAATTCCATAAACTCTTGCTATCATATCATCTCTGCCTGCAGTACATTTTCCGGGAAGTATATTTCACTTGAAGAAACCACTTTTCATTGCTCACCCCTAAGAAGCAATTGTTCATATCATAGTGATATCATGAGATGTAGTAATTGAGTTACGCCTCCAAGTTCCTTCTCTAATTCTAGTTCTTTTGTGGTTCTACCGTATCTGCATGCACCTCCTTCACCAAAACCTTAAAACTTTCAAAGTTATGCATGACAGTTGAAATCAACTTCTTCAAAATGTACATTAATATTGATATCCTGACCTCGTTTCATAAATCATGGATGATCTGGATGGTATCTACAGTTGTGAGTCCTTTCCAGGATGCTTCTAATTTATTTCGTCAAGCCTCCAGAAGACCCCATTTCTGTGTCAGCTATGATCTCATAAACAGTACGTTTTGAAAGTTGAAGTTAACCATAGTCTATGAGAGCCAGAGCGGGTATGGGATCATTAGTAAACATGATAACATCCTTGTCTCTTTGTATACCTTCAGCTGAACACTTGGATGATAAGTGCATTGTCAATAAGCATTACGATTTTGAAAGAAACCTTGTATTTCCTTCCCTGAGCAGTAGGTCTTAACACTTGGCTCAAAACATTCATTAAACTACACTGAAAATGGACTTGGTTGTTCTGTCTGTAGACTGTAGGCAGAGTATATTTAGTATATTCTTAAGAGAGCTAAGATTTTTGACTAGCAAATGAATATTGAAAACTGGCTTCATGTGATAGACGCCCGTTGTTTTACAGATATTAACAAGAAAGCCAGCTTGTCTTTGAGGCTTTGGAGTTAGGATGACTTCTTCTTTTTCTTCTTCCTCTTCTTCTTATTCTTTTGTTTTTTGTTTTGGAAGTTCTAGAAGGCCATGTCTTCTACCAGTAGGGTCTTTGATTTACATTAAGACTCTGGTTTATTGTAGCCATCCTTATGTGCGATGGCTAGGGCTTCAGGAGAATGAGCTGCAATTCCCGGAGTAGTGAGTGACTGCTGCTTCACTTTGCACTTTGATCCTCAGAGGTAGCTCCTTTCCTTCACTCCAGGACCAGAACTCTGCTCCCTTCAAATCTTTCTCTTACAGCATCTAAGTTATGCTTAAATTTTCTTATACCTCTGCTAGCCTTTGTAGAATGAAGAGAATTAGGTCCCAGCTCTGGGTTAAGCTTTATGACTCGAGTATATGATTATTTTGATCTGCTACCCACAACACTGAAGAGTACTCCTTAGAAACAATGGGGTCCCTTCACTCTTTTCTATCATGCAGGTATTTGGAGAAAGGCAGTTTTAGTTTCCTTCAAGAAATTCTCATTTTTGTTTACGTCTTACCTTATGGACACAGTATAAGAGGCTGGCCTTTTAGCTTATCCTAGATTTGAGCATGCCTTTCTCATCAAGATGAATTGTTTCCAGCTTTGAGTTTAACACAAGAGATAGGATTCTTCTTTTAGCTTGAATATTTAAAGGCCATTGTTGGCCCTTAATTAGCTTAATTTCAATACTATTCTTGGAATAGGGAGAGATGGGGGAGGAAAGGGTGGAGCTTTAGAGTGGAGCAGACCCAACACACATGATATTTGTCAATCTACCAAGCTCACTGTTTTATGGGGGTAGAGTTCATGAAACCCAAAACAAAAGACCACAATAATAACATCAACCATTGTTGAACACAGATCACTATAATAGACATAGTATAACAACAATTAAAACATTTGAAATATTTTGATAATTATCAAAATTACAAAGATAGGAAGCAAGCTCCTACTGTTGGCAGAATGACACTGTTTGGCACAAGGTTACCACAGACCTTCAATTTATAAAAACTGCAACACCTGCAAAGTGCAAAAGGGCAAAGTGCAACAAGATGAGGTATGCCTGTGCCAAAACCAAAGTTCCCTTCTGGCTACTTCCACCCAGTGGCCGCAGGGGTGTCAGGCACAGAGCAGGCTCTAAGGCACTTAATACATATTTGTGGACAAAAGAAGTAATGAATCATCCTAGTTCATCTAAAGGTACACGCAATACAGCTCTTTCCTGATATAGACCAGACTAGCGTGTGTTGTCTTTATTCCAGGCTCAATGCTGAAATCTCCTCCAGTTAGTCCTAAGGCAGCATGATGCTCAGAGGGTCTGCCAAGTGCACTGCTTTAATCTGACTGTGCTTGGGTGGATCAGTAAATCACTTAATATGTGACGTCAGAGAACCAAGCATAATTCTCCACACAGGGAGGGTCAGCTCTGAGCGGAGAAGGAGCCTGGTGCACATGGGTGTTCTGCCTGAGAACCCTAAACAGTAGACAATTAATTTTTTGTGTGTTTCTAAACTGAGGCATTTTGTTCTAGGCAAAACTGTTAATTGGCACATATTCAGTCCTGGGAGGAGGAATATTTCCTTGAGTTTCCAGGATAAGGAGGGGGTGGAGAGCGCTGGGCTGAAGCTTGTGGGGCTGGAGAGTATGGTGGAGGCAGGTCTACACAGCATTCCATCTCATGGTCATACGTATAGGGGGGTGGTGCCACTGGAAGAGAGAAGGAGAGAAGTCAGGCCTTAGGTAACCATCTCAGTGAAGCTGATAAACCACTGTGCTAGGTGCTTCTAGAGGGGAAATATTTCTTGCTTGAAAAACTATTAATATTTGTTTAGGATATGGACAGGTATGATTGAGCAGGTGAGTTCTCTGTAAGGCACTGCCCTGAGTGAAGGTGTTTGGAGCTGGGGGGCTTAGGGAAAGTCCTTTGGAAGTATCATGATGAAGGGGCATAGAGTGAAGAAACAGAGGGTGATTCAAGTTGGGCTAAAAGCACAGAAGCAGGAGAGTATGTGTATTTCAGCAGAAAGGTGGGGGAAGGGAGAAATGGAAAAAGAGGCTGAGGAACTGGCCTCACTACCACCATGCTGGGCTTGATGTTACGCAGAGAGTAAGTGATGGGGCATTCTTTAGAAAAGACATTGTAAAATTTTCTTCATTAAGAGTATCCATTGCATGTATTCATTGAACACAATACTGTTTATAAAAGGACATTTCCATACAAATACACAATGCACACTGATCAGCAGCTTCCCATGGGCTCTACCCTCCCCTTTCTCCCATTCATCATGATTCTCCTTTGTTCTATGTTTGATTTCTACTTTCATGCCCTACATGATTTTAGGTATCTATATAAAATCTAGGGACCACAAATGGGAACCATGATGCCTTTCTGACACTGGCTAAGTTCCCTTGGTATGATGCTCTCCCGTCACACCCACTTTCTGGTAAACAATGTAATCTCATTCTTCTTTGTGAGTGAAGGCAACTCTGTTGCATCTGGACCACATTCTGTCCACCTCTCTTTTTCTGGACACAGGCTGTTTGCATAACTGTTCCTGTGACTAGTTGTAGTAAACATTGGGGTGTAAATAGCCTCGTGGTACTTGGGAAAATAGATAAGTGGACATGCTTTGGTAAAACTAATATCTCAGTGGAGAGGACAAAGACAGACTGAAGACATGACAGGTGATGGACTAGTACACAAGAGTAATTCGAACACACTCATGACTACCAGGAGGGGATAATCATAAAACACCAAGTGCTGAGTCTGTAGGCCACTGGGAAAGTGAAAGGGGATGAGAGGGTGAAGGGAGAGGTGAAAGTCTTGGGCACCCAGAAGGGGGGTTCCTGGAACTTGCAGGATAAACATGTTTGGAAATGGAGATGAGAAATATAATTTTCTAAATTATATTTGAACATTTGTCTTGATTTTATTTATTACTATAATATACGTTGGTGCGTTTAACAGGCACATTTACTATCATTGATGGTGACTTCTGGATACCTATTTTTTTAGTGATCCTAATCCTGTCTCCAGGGGAAGGAGAGAGGCATCTGGGAGCTGAAATTCATCCACATCTTCATGATGATAAGCCAGAAATAAAATCATCCTCAGGGTTTGAATCCTACTTGGGAAGTGACAGGCTTTAACTGGTCACTATGAATGTAGCATGGATCTGAAGAAAAATGTCACAATAAGGAGACTAAATCACCAAGTTTTCAGCATTGCAATGACAGCAGAAGACAGCTAGCATTTCAGGAAACTTCTCTCCCCAAGGACCTAACAGCATTCTGATAAGCAGGCACACATGCACACACTAGGTCTAGACTGCTACAAACAGAAGCCATGCTCCTAATGGATCCCTCTGGTGTGCCTCTCTTTACCAAGACCCTGGTGCTTAGAATCATGTACTGGTCTCACTATAGACAGAGGAAGTGAGGAAAGTGAATAAGTAACCGGAGTAAAAGAGGAATGTGGATCCACCCAAGTGAGCGGCATGTCCCCAGAGAGCCCCGCTCTGCTGCTAAGACTCCCGCTGGTGCACTGGGGAGACAGATGTCTTTCATCCAGGAACTGGGCTGCATGAAGACATCAGCAGAGATGCTCACAGCTTTAACCTTCCTTCAGACCCACCTGATTGTAAGCTCTGACTTCTACGACAAAATTGAGTAACTTCTGAGGCATGTGTACACAGTTCCTCTGGATTTTGTGCCCAGATCATGGCTCTGTTACATCTAAGCGGGCTGATACAAAAGCTTACAAAATGTTTCATAAATGTTTCATGCATACCAAGAAAGGAAGCCCTACAGCATTTACATAAATTGGCAAGTCCCAGCAGACTGGACTGCTCCTTCACACTGGCTCTTGTAAACAGGTGGTTCCACCTTGTTACCTTTAAGTTTCTCCTGCCCCTGGCACAGACTAGCTAATGCGCAAGCAAACTGCCTTTACCTCCTCTGTCACATACCTATGCGTGGTGTGTGTATCCTTGACAATGTGTTGATGCCCTGCTCTGGCATGAACACTGTGGCAGACAGTTCCCTGAGAATCATTACGTTTCATGCTGCTGTGTGTTAGCATGGCAACATCAGCTATGAAACAATGTTCTTTCTTTCAACGACCCTTTGAACAATGATGAAATGACAGTGATTCTGGAGAGTGGTTCTTCCAGGCCTATTCATCATGAAAGTGCTGCATTTTTTGCAATACAGTCACTGGAGGACATGTCTGAAACAGTGTTGTGTAATGGACAGTGTTATCTTTCTTCATGACAGCAAGATCGCATAGGAAGTAGATGCTCAAGGTATCCGTTTTGGAAGTCCTAATTAATCCTAATTAAGAGGTTTTGTTCCTTTCAGTTGAGCATATGATTTCTAGATGATTTCCTCTCTAAAGAAGGAGCCTTTGAAACTCTTGTGTATCTGGTATTCCGGTTCTCTGACATAAGTAGGATAAATATGCTATTCATCTTCAACGTCATATACAAAGTGTCTATGATATTAAAAACCTGATGTTGGGCATGATAGTGTACATCTGTAATCCCAGCATTTGAAAGATTGAGGTAGGAGGATCTCAATTTTGGGGCGAGCCTGGAATATAAACTGAGTTCCAGGTCAGCCTAGTGTATACAGCTAAATCCTATCTCAAAAATGACTGGCTGTGGGTGAATAAACAAACAAACAAACAAACAAATAGATAGATACTGAGAGAAAAGATGAAATTTAGAGAAGAAATGTACAGTTTTCAACATATTCAAGTAATATTTCAAAAGATGCAGAAAATATGGATGTAGAAGGAGATCATCCTGAACTTCGTCACTAGAGTCTGTTAATGAGCTATCACACCCACACCTCTTGTCATTTACACATTCACACCTTTGCAGTTGCATAAAATGACACCATCTTTGTCACTTCACATCATAGCACTACTTGTTTTCTGTGTATTCTCCCTGAATTTTATTATTACTGGGTATATATTATTTTACTTTATAGTCACCTACTCTGAGGTTAACATTATTATTATTATAAACAACTGACAAACATCTTCTCACTGGAGACATTACTGTTCTGAATGACTTCTTTGGAATAAAAATTCTAGAAATCTTCTGATGTAAACAGTGTGTAAGTATTATTATTTGCAAATGCATGCCATGGTGAACCTAAATTGTGAAATCCCCCACAGACACCAGTATGCCAATGACACAGATAGGCTGTCAGATTAAAGAATTGATAAATGAGAAAAAGATAGCTATCTTTTGCCATCATTTCTCTGATCAAGGTTGCGATTTGCAACATCCATGTTCTGAATTGGCGCTTCAAACTCAGACTGGGTAATTGATCTCTTTATTCACTTTTGTTTCAGTCTGGTAACTCATAAATTAGACTCTTAGAGTTAAGAATAATTAAAATAACAAGGCTATAAATTACATATTTTTACTTTAAAAATAGTTTGTCAGTTGGATGTGGTGGTGCACACCTTTATTCTCAGCATTCGGCAGGTAGAGACAGGCAGATCTCTGTGAGTCTGAGGCCAGCCTGTTCTACACAGGGGGTTCTAGACAAATTCCAGACTACATAGTGAAGCCCTGTCTGCAAAACCAAAGAACAAAAAAGAATAAATTTTCTGGGTTGCTCATTTTACTACATCATTTTGTACATTCTAAAGTTTAAAAGTTGTATATAACAAAATGTGTTTTTCACCTTTACTGTTCTGTTCTTTGCAAGCATAAAGAGTCTTATTTTTGCAGCTCTGATTCATAACCATTCTACTTCTAAATTTGCCCTCTGTGTTTTATATAACTATAAAGTTTTGAGACAGGACATTGCTATAAAGTTGTGGAGGATGATCAGACACTTAACAGTACAGACTAGCTCCGGTCCTTCTGGCCCAGTCCTCTGAATGCTGGGATTACCGGGGTGTGAGCCACAGCTTTATATTTGGTAGATGTTGTAAGAAAGTTTATTTTTCTTCTGAGGTTTTAATCTAAGCTAAGCCAAATGTCTAAAGGTGGCCTATTAAATAATTCTCAAAGCTCATATTGTTATGTTTCTGTTAGAAAATCAACTTGCTCTGTCCTGTGGACCAGGTGTGTCCATGCCAGAGCAATGTATCTTAAGTACTATTGATTTGAAATAGATTTAGTATCTGATAGGACTAGTCAATCATGTTGTGTGTGAATATGTGTGTATACACATGTGCTGTTTGTATGTGTGTGTGTGTATATATGTATGTGTTGCGTTGTATGTATGTAATTTATGTACTTGTGAAAACTTCTTTTTTCACACAAGTTTTAGTTCTGTTGCTTCAAGCAAGCTCTATTTTACTCTGTCCTACTGAGCCCCACCCATATCAGAAAGTTTACGGAAGGGCTCAGGAGTGGCTGGCAGGATTTCCACTGCCCCACCCTCTGACACACCACACAAATGCTGTTGCGTCTCCTCCACAAAAGTACAAGACGCTAAATCATCTTAGAACCCTTTGTTCCTCTTCCTCTCTGATAACACCAGGACAAGTCAGATCATGTCCTGCATCCTTGTGTCACTATTAGAAGGACAGTTTCCCAGGCCAGCCTTCATTTTAGACAGTCAATGCAGGAGGGCTTTGACCTAGTCTGCCTAATGTCCCAAGCTCCCCCAACTCACTTTGCTGTGTGTTCAGTGGAAAACAAAGCTGAACTTCAGCAAAGTCTTAGGTGTATTCGGGTTCA